GCTAAAACTAGACACCTAAGATTATAGAACTTTGAACAACTCCTCGATCTCAGCCAATATAAGACGATGACTAAGAGGCTGCAACCCAATTACAGTAAGCTTTAAAACCAGTCGAATGTCAACAAGGTTCTTTAATCTTTCAGCAAAAAAAAGGAGGATGATATTTAACAAAAAAATAGAGGTTCTGAAACAAAGTCTCTAACTCCACTAGATATAGACTCAATGCCATCAAAAGCCCTTTTGTTTCTATCCATCCAAATAACCAAAGGTAGCCAAGGGGATAAGAGATAAAAGCTGCTTCTTATGCTTATCACCCAGATGCCTTGCCAAGTCCAATTTCACCAGCTAATACCCTGCCATTGCCCAACTCACTTCCAGGAAGTCATAAGTAGCATTGGAGCCAAAAGGAAAAAGGAGACCATAATAAGAGGTGGTCTGGGAATTTTAGGCGCCTTATGCATAAGTAACGTCCGTTGACTACAAATTAACTGAGAATTTAATGAGAATTTTATCAAACTTAACCTTAATCTATTGTTAAACAATCTTACTTTAAAAAAAAATCTATTGTTAAACAATCATATCGATTTTTATACCCTTTTTCTTTTGATTACTAATTCTGAATTGGGTGATTAACAGATGGCTAAGAGGTTAATGCAAGTTGCAAAAGCAGAAGGCCTTCAAGTTAATGAGGTATATTGAATGTAACCTGGGCCTTATGATGTTGGTAAATCTTTTATATATACTCTTTATGTTGCATTTGAAGGCTACATAGTAAGATACAGACATTATAAAGAATAGACCTTTTAATGAAAAGGATAGTAAAAGGGCCTGCATTTTTGCATTTGAATATTCATTATTTGCATTATAAAATTGCTCTTTTTTTTAGACATAGAATTTTAGGTCCTTGACATAGAAGGGAGAGCAGGATAATGTGTTTTTCATTTTTGACTCGTAGAATCTTGCATTCATATCTCCTCGGTCTTTTGGGGTTTAATTTATCTTTCATATTTCTGAGCATATTAATGTTCTGGGAACATTAAAAACTAAATTAAGTTTATCTTCCTGGCAAAATATTTTGGTGGTTAGATTTAGTTTCTGATTTTTTTTGTAGAACTGGAGTCTCCGCTTTTATTTCACCATCTTCTACTAATTTATGTGGTTCATTGAATAATTGTCTTCTTGCTAGGAACTGATCATTGTGCTATTATCAGTGTGTTGTTGGTGAATTTGGTGTACCGAACAGTCTCATACATTCTTTCTATTTCTTTCAGATTGCTCTTGAGGAGCTTGCTGAAAGAGTGAACGGCGACATGCGCATGGCACTAAATCAGTTGCAGTATATGAGTCTGTCCATGTCAGTGATTAAGTATGATGACATAAGGCGGCGCCTTCTTAGCAGCTCAAAAGATGAAGATATTTCACCATTTACAGCTGTTGATAAGTATGGCTTCCATCATTTGGTTCAACCTTCTCCATGTTTCCTTTTTGATGTTGTTTTAACTTCTTCACTGTGCTATCATTTTATTGAGAACTTCCTTTAATATTTTTGTTTTTAATAATCCTGTGGGACTGATCTGTAAGTTTTGAGTTTATGTAGAGGGTGTTTTAGATTTTGCTGAAATAATTGTGTTAAAGCACTACATGGTTATATATAATTCAAGTTTAAGTTGAAATAAGCAATTATAATTTTGGGTAAAGATACTTGTAAAAAATTAGCTCTTGTCGTGTTTTGGAGTGTTGGTACTAAAAATGAACGTATTCACATAAATAGATTGGACATGTTCAGAAAATAAGCGTTTTAAGCTGGTTGAAAAAAGAGAATGTTTTTATATTTTCCTGCTTAAATCTTTTATTAACAGCTGAAAAAGCAAAGTTTACGGGATTATCAAATAGACAGAATTAAGTGGATTGCATATAAGCTGTTCTAAGTAAAGACAAACATCCTCATAAACTCATAGGGAAGCTTCATCACCTCCTGCAAGTCGTTGTTGGCTTATGGTCTCATATATTGCGTGTACATTCTTAGGAAATGGTTTGTAAATAAACTATGACAAACATTTTGAAAATGGAGCTTATGTCTACTATTATTTTATCACTATGTTGTTGTATTATGAAGTAAATATTTAATGTTTATGGTGCTGGCTCTGAATTTTAGTCTCCCTATCCTTTTACATATTGATAAAGGAAAGAAAGTTACTAACTTCCAATTTTATGGTGCTGATCCCTTACTCTTTATTGCCATCTCCTATCTTTTTGCATTTTGTTGAAGGAATAAATAGACCACAAATTAGCTTTTATGAAGTTTTGATAATCATATGGTCCTTTTAAAAAATTAAAAAAGAAAAAAACTATTATCATGGTATTTTCAGGAACAACCTAGTATTCACTAACGCAACTTGTTTATTTGGTTGTAGACTGTTCGGGTTTAATGGGGGGAGGCTGAGGATGGATGAGCGCATTGACCTGAGCATGAGCGATCCTGATCTAGTTCCTCTTCTTATTCAGGTTCTTTCCTTATTTATGTGCTAATTAGAGTTCATGATAGCTAAGATATGAAGTGATTTGAGTTTTCTTTCTCGTGGGGTTGTAATCCTTACACAAATATATGGCAGCATCAATTCCTCATTTCCTTTTATATAATGTTGTAATTTTTTCGAACCTACTTAAAGCAAATTGTTGAAATTGAAATCCAGTCATAGAACCTGTTTTTCAATATTATGTTTCTATGACTATCTCTTTCTCTATTTTTGTGCCTGTACTTATATGTGCATTTGTGCATCTATTTATGGTGTTTTTCGGTTTTGGTCTACCAAAATTGAGTTATTTGTTCCCTTGTTTGATGCATATAATTTAGTGATGGGACTCTTGGTGGCTTCAAAATAATCTACTAAGTGTTCTGACATGATTTTTGTTTTGTTTTGTTTATTTTTTTCGTCTTTCAATTTTAAATCTTATAGAATTGTCTTGCTAGGATCTAGGGTACTTGGTTCTAGACCCTAGATGTTTCAATTAAAGGGTAATCCTCTTTCCATTTGTGAGGACTTAGGGGCACCACAATGATATTTTGATAGATTTGTGAGGTTCTTGTAAATAGGTTGCGCCCCCTTGGTGCTGCTTAATACTATGTTTTTTTTCTTTGGAAAAAAATGTTGTCTATCAAGTGTTCTGACATAAGTTTACTTTTGTGAGGACTTAGGGGCACCACAATGATATTTTGATAGATTTGTGAGGTTCTTGTAAATAGGTTGCGCCCCCTTGGTGCTGCTTAATACTATGTTTTTTTTCTTTGGAAAAAAAATGTTGTCTATCAAGTATTCTGACATAAGTTTACTTTTGTTATTTTACGGTAGGAAAATTATATTAATTATAGGCCAAGTTCAGTCAGCAAAGATGACAGTGGGGTCAAACGTTTGGGCTTGCTTGCCCGTGCTGCTGAGTCTATTGGAGATGGAGATATAATAAATGTGCAGATTCGAAGATATCGACAATGGCAACTCTCTCAGTCTAGTTCAGTTGCATCCTGTATTATTCCGTATGTCTCCTTTCAACTTTACAAGATAAAGTTAACTCTTTTTAAATCATTTTTTGGGGTAGCATGATTTGTATATTCTCTTTGTGGGCCACAGATGATGGCTTTTTGTGGGGTTTGCCTTCTCTGTCATGTAAAAGAATTTAATTTTTATCCCCTTGTCTTTCTTGTTTTTGTTCTTTATGTGTGAGGATATTATCTTCTGTTTAAATCTCATTCATTCTTAATAATATCTTCTTTTTCTATCCAAAAAAGGCTAGGTTTTCTTAAAGTTTGGCTTTCCTAGCAGAGGTGCATGGTTTCATGGACCTTCTTCTGTGGGTTGTTTGCATGTGCTTTAAGTTCTCTTAGTACTTTTATGTCTCGATATGGCCATTGGGTGGCGGGTGCAGAACATATAATTAGATTGCAATTTTCTTATAAAAGAAGTTAGCAATTGATTTTCATTCTGATTGAGTTTCATTCAAATTCCAATTGCACGGAATACTAATGAGAATAAATACAAAAAAAACTAAAAATTGGATAAAAATAGCATTTTAATTTCAAGTCAATTATATGTTCAAGTTAATTTTGATGTATTTTTGATTCCTTGATCGGTGAGAATACAAATTCATAATCGTGAGATAAAATATATGAGTGAAGTTGATTTAATTATGCAGCAAACTTGTAAATTATGACTAACATCTATATATCAAATGATTAAAAAATTAGGAATTAAATGAAAATAAAATAGGTTTGACTAAATGCA